ACTAACCTTGAATTGTAACCATATTTGCAATCTGTATAACCGGATCAACTTTTGCTTCGGGAAATATTCCTTTGCGTAAAACTTTTGCTTCATCAGGAGAATATTCTTTTAATGCCTTATTTTATTGTATATGCAAATGTAACGATTAATACCAATGGAGGTTTGGTAAGCTTAGACTTTGACGTCAAAAAATTTATATTACCTCTATAGCTTTCTCTGCATTACTTTCTTGTATAACACCGACCGTAGCATTCCCAAATAATATCAAAAGAATCACAATTGGTTCTACAAATGCGGTGCCCTGTTCCTCAGAATCTTCGAGCAAAGCCAAGACGAAAGATATTGCGGCAGAAATCAAAAGAATTATAACAAGCTGATCTTTGAATTGTTCTAAAATAAGTTCCCACATGGGCGTGGAATCTTTCTGGGGAAGTTCTAGTTGTATTAAAAAAAAATAAAAAATAAAAATCCTATAGTTACTTTTCGTCATAAATTGTTTAAATTAACAAATCAAGTCCAATATTATCTCGAATTAGAAAATTCCTAAACTTAGAAAACAACAGGTAGAAACAGATCCTCTCAAGTTAATGCTATTTCTACAAATGATCTTTGATCAGGATGGAATTATTCACTCTTACCATTCCTCCCATATTTCTTCTTATTTTCATTTACTTGCTTTTCATTTAAACCATGTTCTATGTTAACGTCAAAGTACTCTAATACTTCCTCGGGTGTTTTTATAAAGGCTTCTTCCATTTTTACGCCGTAGCAGAAAAAGATTTTACAAGTAATAATCACTGGATTTGTTATAACTAAAAATTTTGATCGGCGTTGTACATCGCATATTTGAAATTCTGTTTTATCTGTTTTATCATTATCCTTTATTTTAACTCAAATCAACATTCATATATGCTAATTAAATAAAAAAAAAATTTTTTTTTAATTACCGTTTATTATAATTTTCTATTTTTGAATATATATTTTTTTTATATACAGTCAAACCTGGATATAACGAAGCCTTCAGGCTAATTAATAAAAATTTATATAATAAAATTCCCTTTTTATAATGAATTTTGAGTATATTCAAAATTCAAAAATTCGTTATAACCAGCATTTTATTATAACTTCATTATAAACAGGTTCGTTATATCCAGGTTTGACTGTAATTAATAAAATTTTATTATTGATGTTATATGTTCAAAAATTATAATTTTTTAAAAAAGAGTAATAATAGACTACTAGTTAATATTATAGCTTATACTGTATATTTATAAGAAAATAATATACCGTATTTTATTTTTGTTATAATAATAGTTAACTAATGTAGGTTATACAAGGTTATGCACATGATGATTCACGCGAATCTGCGATAAATATGAATTTCGGGCGATCGTTTTACGCGTTTTCCAAAAGAAAGCGTTTTTATATACTCTACTCTAATAATAACTTCTATCGTATTCTACGCTTTCATAGAGCAACGATGTCTTTAACTATTGGAACAAGCATGCATGGAACCAAAAAACAAGGATCTACAAATGCCACAATGTCCACTGTAAGATCTACCTTCGAAGATCAATTAGCGCTTTTGCAAGAGAATTCGCAGGGTAAGTAACCCCCATCACATAAACCTAAATTTGGCCATTGTTTTGAGACTGAGCTTTAAGTTATTTTCGAAAAGTTTCCGAAAAACATCGTCAAAACTGGGCCCGGCCGAGTGTACCCAATATAGATCCAGAAGTTGATTCAATAAGTAAGTAAACAATAGTAGTAAATACTTATTAGTTAAACTAATATTTAACATATTTTACAGTATTTCAGCAATTTGAGGTTGACGAGAGTATTGATTATACATCCCCAACAAAATCGCCAATGATTCGCATGTTTGGCATCACAGAGGTACTATTAATAGATTACGCGATCAATTGACGTAGGGATTAAGTTTTTCGTTTAATAGACAGGAAATAGCGTCTTATGCGATGTCAAAGGATTTTTGCCTTACTTCTATGTTCCAGCTCCCATTGGATTTAAGAATGACGATGTTACGGACTTTCAATCAGACCTTGAGGTAAAGAAACTTCTATTAATTCTGTTTTATGATTGTCTCCGAAATGGTCATTTATTTAAATTATCATTGTAGTTTGCACTACAAAAGGAGTTTAATTCACATGGAAGGCAGCTGATAGTTAAAGTTGAGATCAATCTCAAAGAGACTATACAAGGCTACCATGGAAATAACAAAAGCCCTTTTATAAAGGTGTATTTTGCTGACGCAAAAGCATTATCTGCAGCAAAACATATCCTTTGAATGACACGGTATTATTAGCAGTTATATTTCATCGATAATATATTATTAGCCCTTTGACTACTGTGTACGTATCATCGAAGCAGGAAATTTTAAATTCAAAGAAAGACATTTGGGTCAAGCGACATTTGAAAGTAATATAGTATATGTATTACGGTATATGATTGATTGCAAGGTTAGTGATAATTAATTTGCATATCTAATTCTTGGTATAATATTTAAAATATACTGTTGGTTTTTCCTAAGGTTACCGGGGGTAATTGGATTGAACTGCCTCCAAAAAGTTATCGTATTAAACAAAAATCAGAACAAGTTTCACATTGTCAAATAGAATTAGTCACCCGGTATCGTGATTTATGTCATTTCTTTATGATATTTGTGATCGAAGACTAATTTCTAAAATTTTATGCAGTTATGATCAATTTATAAGTCATGCACCTGATGGAGAATGGTCAAAAGTTGCACCTGTTCGTATTTTGAGTTTTGATATCGAATGCGCTGGACGCAAAGGAATATTTCCCGAAGCAAAAGTTGATCCGGTTATACAGATTGCAAATATGGTTACAATTCAAGGTTAGT